ACTGCATAGTAGGATTATTTGATGTCCTGATCATGAATACCGCATTAGTTCTCAGCGATGGCGCCATTTGACGCCAATACGGCGCCGGCGCCTGTAGCGCGGCTCTAGGTGGTTTCAGACCGAGCGGATGTGATATTTGTGTTCAGGAGGTCGAATTACCCTTAACTCAACTTTCAGCCAAATCTGCCGCCGTAGAAAAAATCCGGCCTGTTTCCAGAAAATTGGGGTAGTAATAGTTGAATAGTGCCGTACTTTTGTATTCGCTGTGCTCATTGTGAGAGCTTGTTTTGTTTCCGTAGAGGTACACCACATATGCTCTCAAACCATAAGATCTTCATTTCTGATGTCTGATGATGTCAAATAATTAAAGAACTAACTAGGTAAATTGGCCAAACAGAAGTGTTTTAGGGACTCATATGAAGTGTTTTGAATAAAAGCAAAAATTTTTGAGAGTCAAGGAATCCAACATGCGACCTTGTGTCTCTGAAGCAGTGTGCCTATCCACTACGCCATCGGCCGCTCGCCGCATGCAGTTATCGTTCTCAACTTGAGCGAACAGAGCAGAGATTAAATGGTCCGTAACTCCTTTCAGAGAATCGTTCCGCAAATTCGAGGGCAGATTTGGATTCAGCGGCTCAAGACACGTCCACATATATACATCTCATTGCAAATGGCCGGATCGACCTGTTGGGGTTCCCTTGTTAGGTATAACGTATGTTTTGCCGTCTCCTTCCATCTCGGTCTCAAAAACATGCGGAATAGTTGTTATAGGCAAGTGAAGTTAATAGTGGTGGGGAGGCAGTCTGGAGCAAGTGGTAGGAAAGGCGGCCGTAATGAAAAAATCTTGCTCATCCCATGATCATAATATGCAGTACTCGAGAAACTATTGATTACCAAAAACAAGTTTTTTCAAAGCAGAGAAATTCAAATTATGAAATTTCACTCATTTTTATGGATGTTACCTAATATTAACGTATATTTATGATGAATTTCCAGCCTGTTGAGATCTCTGAAATGTAAGCTAATAAAACGGGCCAGTAGTAGTGTTGGCGATGGCCCGTTTACGGCACTACGGCAAAAGAAATATAAACATCTGAGGAGAAAACGAAAAGCTATGTAATATATTTGCAGGACTTGGTCGAATGTGAGAAGGAAATTCGGCAAAAAATGAGGAGGGACGAGGACTCATCATACGGAGCACTCTACAACACAGAAAAAGAAATCGATGAGCGAGCCTACTGGGAGTCAATCCACAGAACAAGAGGACAAGGAGAAGGAACAAGCTATGCATTTGATGAAATGAAAACTAAAACAGACACAACAGCAGGCTCACCATGTGGTACTTACTACTTTAAATGCGACCGCATCACCCACATTCAAGAACTAGCTGAAGAAACAGCACTAACCTTCCAACCGCCACCTCGTCCACCACCTCCATCAGCATCTGTTGAAGAGTTGAGACGGGATTCGATTGCCGCAAAAGAACTCGACTATAGGGAAGAACTTCGACAAGAATCGAGAGATGAGTCCGAGGCAACTTCAGGAGCGGACCAATTAGCGGCTTCTGAGGCCGGTTCTCCAGTTCCTCTATACGAGCGAACTTCACCACTGCTGGAGGCGGATCATGAGGAAATCGTAGAACCAGAACTACCATCCATGCCACAAATTCCTCCGCGGGAAGCCGGCGAAGCAGGCTTCATCAGTTCCACTGCACCAGAAGTACCATCGGAACCAGCGCTGACGCAAGAGGAACTCGATCACATCGCCTACATTCAGAAACTAGCTGAAGAAACAGCAACTAACCACTTCCAACCGCCACCTCGTCCACCACCTCCATCAGCATCTGTTGAAGAGTTGAGACGGGATTCGATTGCCGCAAAAGAACTCGACTATAGGGAAGAACTTCGACAAGAATCGAGAGATGAGTCCGAGGCAACTTCAGGAGCGGACCAATTAGCGGCTTCTGAGGCCGGTTTCTCCAGTCTCTGTACGAGGCGAACTTCACCGGCTGACTGAGGGCGATCATGAGGACATCGTAGAACCGAAGGAACTATCATCCATGCCGACAAATTTCGCCGCGGGAAGCCGTTGAAGCAGGCGTCATCAGTTCCAGTGTACCAGAAGTACCATCGGAACCAGCGCTGACGCAAGAGGAACTCGATCACATCGCCTACATTCAGAAACTAGCTGAAGAAACAGCACTAACCTTCCAACCGCCACCTCGTCCACCACCTCCATCAGCATCTGTTGAAGAGTTGAGACGGGATTCGATTGCCGCAAAAGAACTCGACTATAGGGAAGAACTTCGACAAGAATCGAGAGATGAGTCCGAGGCAACTTCAGGAGCGGACCAATTAGCGGCTTCTGAGGCCGGTTCTCCAGTTCCTCTGTACGAGCGAACTTCACCACTGCTGGAGGCGGATCATGAGGAAATCGTAGAACCAGAACTACCATCCATGCCACAAATTCCTCCGCGGGAAGCCGGCGAAGCAGGCGTCATCAGTTCCACTGCACCAGAAGTACCATCGGAACCAGCGCTGACGCAAGAGGAACTCGATCACATCGCCTACATTCAGAAACTAGCTGAAGAAACAGCACTAACCTTCCAACCGCCACCTCGTCCACCACCTCCATCAGCATCTGTTGAAGAGTTGAGACGGGATTCGATTGCCGCAAAAGAACTCGACTATAGGGAAGAACTTCGACAAGAATCGAGAGATGAGTCCGAGGCAACTTCAGGAGCGGACCAATTAGCGGCTTCTGAGGCCGGTTCTCCAGTTCCTCTGTACGAGCGAACTTCACCACTGCTGGAGGCGGATCATGAGGAAATCGTAGAACCAGAACTACCATCCATGCCACAAATTCCTCCGCGGGAAGCCGGCGAAGCAGGCGTCATCAGTTCCACTGCACCAGAAGTACCATCGGAACCAGCGCTGACGCAAGAGGAACTCGATCACATCGCCTACATTCAGAAACTAGCTGAAGAAACAGCACTAACCTTCCAACCGCCACCTCGTCCACCACCTCCATCAGCATCTGTTGAAGAGTTGAGACGGGATTCGATTGCCGCAAAAGAACTCGACTATAGGGAAGAACTTCGACAAGAATCGAGAGATGAGTCCGAGGCAACTTCAGGAGCGGACCAATTAGCGGCTTCTGAGGCCGGTTCTCCAGTTCCTCTGTACGAGCGAACTTCACCACTGCTGGAGGCGGATCATGAGGAAATCGTAGAACCAGAACTACCATCCATGCCACAAATTCCTCCGCGGGAAGCCGGCGAAGCAGGCGTCATCAGTTCCACTGCACCAGAAGTACCATCGGAACCAGCGCTGACGCAAGAGGAACTCGATCACATCGCCTACATTCAGAAACTAGCTGAAGAAACAGCACTAACCTTCCAACCGCCACCTCGTCCACCACCTCCATCAGCATCTGTTGAAGAGTTGAGACGGGATTCGATTGCCGCAAAAGAACTCGACTATAGGGAAGAACTTCGACAAGAATCGAGAGATGAGTCCGAGGCAACTTCAGGAGCGGACCAATTAGCGGCTTCTGAGGCCGGTTCTCCAGTTCCTCTGTACGAGCGAACTTCACCACTGCTGGAGGCGGATCATGAGGAAATCGTAGAACCAGAACTACCATCCATGCCACAAATTCCTCCGCGGGAAGCCGTTGAAGCAGGCGTCATCAGTTCCAGTGTACCAGAAGTACCATCGGAACCAGCGCTGACGCAAGAGGAACTCGATCACATCGCCTACATTCAGAAACTAGCTGAAGAAACAGCACTAACCTTCCAACCGCCACCTCGTCCACCACCTCCATCAGCATCTGTTGAAGAGTTGAGACGGGATTCGATTGCCGCAAAAGAACTCGACTATAGGGAAGAACTTCGACAAGAATCGAGAGATGAGTCCGAGGCAACTTCAGGAGCGGACCAATTAGCGGCTTCTGAGGCCGGTTCTCCAGTTCCTCTGTACGAGCGAACTTCACCACTGCTGGAGGCGGATCATGAGGAAATCGTAGAACCAGAACTACCATCCATGCCACAAATTCCTCCGCGGGAAGCCGGCGAAGCAGGCGTCATCAGTTCCACTGCACCAGAAGTACCATCGGAACCAGCGCTGACGCAAGAGGAACTCGATCACATCGCCTACATTCAGAAACTAGCTGAAGAAACAGCACTAACCTTCCAACCGCCACCTCGTCCACCACCTCCATCAGCATCTGTTGAAGAGTTGAGACGGGATTCGATTGCCGCAAAAGAACTCGACTATAGGGAAGAACTTCGACAAGAATCGAGAGATGAGTCCGAGGCAACTTCAGGAGCGGACCAATTAGCGGCTTCTGAGGCCGGTTCTCCAGTTCCTCTGTACGAGCGAACTTCACCACTGCTGGAGGCGGATCATGAGGAAATCGTAGAACCAGAACTACCATCCATGCCACAAATTCCTCCGCGGGAAGCCGGCGAAGCAGGCTTCATCAGTTCCACTGCACCAGAAGTACCATCGGAACCAGCGCTGACGCAAGAGGAACTCGATCACATCGCCTACATTCAGAAACTAGCTGAAGAAACAGCACTAACCTTCCAACCGCCACCTCGTCCACCACCTCCATCAGCATCTGTTGAAGAGTTGAGACGGGATTCGATTGCCGCAAAAGAACTCGACTATAGGGAAGAACTTCGACAAGAATCGAGAGATGAGTCCGAGGCAACTTCAGGAGCGGACCAATTAGCGGCTTCTGAGGCCGGTTCTCCAGTTCCTCTGTACGAGCGAACTTCACCACTGCTGGAGGCGGATCATGAGGAAATCGTAGAACCAGAACTACCATCCATGCCACAAATTCCTCCGCGGGAAGCCGGCGAAGCAGGCGTCATCAGTTCCACTGCACCAGAAGTACCATCGGAACCAGCGCTGACGCAAGAGGAACTCGATCACATCGCCTACATTCAGAAACTAGCTGAAGAAACAGCACTAACCTTCCAACCGCCACCTCGTCCACCACCTCCATCAGCATCTGTTGAAGAGTTGAGACGGGATTCGATTGCCGCAAAAGAACTCGACTATAGGGAAGAACTTCGACAAGAATCGAGAGATGAGTCCGAGGCAACTTCAGGAGCGGACCAATTAGCGGCTTCTGAGGCCGGTTCTCCAGTTCCTCTGTACGAGCGAACTTCACCACTGCTGGAGGCGGATCATGAGGAAATCGTAGAACCAGAACTACCATCCATGCCACAAATTCCTCCGCGGGAAGCCGTTGAAGCAGGCGTCATCAGTTCCACTGCACCAGAAGTACCATCGGAACCAGCGCTGACGCAAGAGGAACTCGATCACATCGCCTACATTCAGAAACTAGCTGAAGAAACAGCACTAACCTTCCAACCGCCACCTCGTCCACCACCTCCATCAGCATCTGTTGAAGAGTTGAGACGGGATTCGATTGCCGCAAAAGAACTCGACTATAGGGAAGAACTTCGACAAGAATCGAGAGATGAGTCCGAGGCAACTTCAGGAGCGGACCAATTAGCGGCTTCTGAGGCCGGTTCTCCAGTTCCTCTGTACGAGCGAACTTCACCACTGCTGGAGGCGGATCATGAGGAAATCGTAGAACCAGAACTACCATCCATGCCACAAATTCCTCCGCGGGAAGCCGGCGAAGCAGGCGTCATCAGTTCCACTGCACCAGAAGTACCATCGGAACCAGCGCTGACGCAAGAGGAACTCGATCACATCGCCTACATTCAGAAACTAGCTGAAGAAACAGCACTAACCTTCCAACCGCCACCTCGTCCACCACCTCCATCAGCATCTGTTGAAGAGTTGAGACGGGATTCGATTGCCGCAAAAGAACTCGACTATAGGGAAGAACTTCGACAAGAATCGAGAGATGAGTCCGAGGCAACTTCAGGAGCGGACCAATTAGCGGCTTCTGAGGCCGGTTCTCCAGTTCCTCTGTACGAGCGAACTTCACCACTGCTGGAGGCGGATCATGAGGAAATCGTAGAACCAGAACTACCATCCATGCCACAAATTCCTCCGCGGGAAGCCGTTGAAGCAGGCGTCATCAGTTCCACTGCACCAGAAGTACCATCGGAACCAGCGCTGACGCAAGAGGAACTCGATCACATCGCCTACATTCAGAAACTAGCTGAAGAAACAGCACTAACCTTCCAACCGCCACCTCGTCCACCACCTCCATCAGCATCTGTTGAAGAGTTGAGACGGGATTCGATTGCCGCAAAAGAACTCGACTATAGGGAAGAACTTCGACAAGAATCGAGAGATGAGTCCGAGGCAACTTCAGGAGCGGACCAATTAGCGGCTTCTGAGGCCGGTTCTCCAGTTCCTCTGTACGAGCGAACTTCACCACTGCTGGAGGCGGATCATGAGGAAATCGTAGAACCAGAACTACCATCCATGCCACAAATTCCTCCGCGGGAAGCCGGCGAAGCAGGCTTCATCAGTTCCACTGCACCAGAAGTACCATCGGAACCAGCGCTGACGCAAGAGGAACTCGATCACATCGCCTACATTCAGAAACTAGCTGAAGAAACAGCACTAACCTTCCAACCGCCACCTCGTCCACCACCTCCATCAGCATCTGTTGAAGAGTTGAGACGGGATTCGATTGCCGCAAAAGAACTCGACTATAGGGAAGAACTTCGACAAGAATCGAGAGATGAGTCCGAGGCAACTTCAGGAGCGGACCAATTAGCGGCTTCTGAGGCCGGTTCTCCAGTTCCTCTGTACGAGCGAACTTCACCACTGCTGGAGGCGGATCATGAGGAAATCGTAGAACCAGAACTACCATCCATGCCACAAATTCCTCCGCGGGAAGCCGGCGAAGCAGGCTTCATCAGTTCCACTGCACCAGAAGTACCATCGGAACCAGCGCTGACGCAAGAGGAACTCGATCACATCGCCTACATTCAGAAACTAGCTGAAGAAACAGCACTAACCTTCCAACCGCCACCTCGTCCACCACCTCCATCAGCATCTGTTGAAGAGTTGAGACGGGATTCGATTGCCGCAAAAGAACTCGACTATAGGGAAGAACTTCGACAAGAATCGAGAGATGAGTCCGAGGCAACTTCAGGAGCGGACCAATTAGCGGCTTCTGAGGCCGGTTCTCCAGTTCCTCTGTACGAGCGAACTTCACCACTGCTGGAGGCGGATCATGAGGAAATCGTAGAACCAGAACTACCATCCATGCCACAAATTCCTCCGCGGGAAGCCGGCGAAGCAGGCGTCATCAGTTCCACTGCACCAGAAGTACCATCGGAACCAGCGCTGACGCAAGAGGAACTCGATCACATCGCCTACATTCAGAAACTAGCTGAAGAAACAGCACTAACCTTCCAACCGCCACCTCGTCCACCACCTCCATCAGCATCTGTTGAAGAGTTGAGACGGGATTCGATTGCCGCAAAAGAACTCGACTATAGGGAAGAACTTCGACAAGAATCGAGAGATGAGTCCGAGGCAACTTCAGGAGCGGACCAATTAGCGGCTTCTGAGGCCGGTTCTCCAGTTCCTCTGTACGAGCGAACTTCACCACTGCTGGAGGCGGATCATGAGGAAATCGTAGAACCAGAACTACCATCCATGCCACAAATTCCTCCGCGGGAAGCCGGCGAAGCAGGCGTCATCAGTTCCACTGCACCAGAAGTACCATCGGAACCAGCGCTGACGCAAGAGGAACTCGATCACATCGCCTACATTCAGAAACTAGCTGAAGAAACAGCACTAACCTTCCAACCGCCACCTCGTCCACCACCTCCATCAGCATCTGTTGAAGAGTTGAGACGGGATTCGATTGCCGCAAAAGAACTCGACTATAGGGAAGAACTTCGACAAGAATCGAGAGATGAGTCCGAGGCAACTTCAGGAGCGGACCAATTAGCGGCTTCTGAGGCCGGTTCTCCAGTTCCTCTGTACGAGCGAACTTCACCACTGCTGGAGGCGGATCATGAGGAAATCGTAGAACCAGAACTACCATCCATGCCACAAATTCCTCCGCGGGAAGCCGGCGAAGCAGGCTTCATCAGTTCCACTGCACCAGAAGTACCATCGGAACCAGCGCTGACGCAAGAGGAACTCGATCACATCGCCTACATTCAGAAACTAGCTGAAGAAACAGCACTAACCTTCCAACCGCCACCTCGTCCACCACCTCCATCAGCATCTGTTGAAGAGTTGAGACGGGATTCGATTGCCGCAAAAGAACTCGACTATAGGGAAGAACTTCGACAAGAATCGAGAGATGAGTCCGAGGCAACTTCAGGAGCGGACCAATTAGCGGCTTCTGAGGCCGGTTCTCCAGTTCCTCTGTACGAGCGAACTTCACCACTGCTGGAGGCGGATCATGAGGAAATCGTAGAACCAGAACTACCATCCATGCCACAAATTCCTCCGCGGGAAGCCGTTGAAGCAGGCGTCATCAGTTCCACTGCACCAGAAGTACCATCGGAACCAGCGCTGACGCAAGAGGAACTCGATCACATCGCCTACATTCAGAAACTAGCTGAAGAAACAGCACTAACCTTCCAACCGCCACCTCGTCCACCACCTCCATCAGCATCTGTTGAAGAGTTGAGACGGGATTCGATTGCCGCAAAAGAACTCGACTATAGGGAAGAACTTCGACAAGAATCGAGAGATGAGTCCGAGGCAACTTCAGGAGCGGACCAATTAGCGGCTTCTGAGGCCGGTTCTCCAGTTCCTCTGTACGAGCGAACTTCACCACTGCTGGAGGCGGATCATGAGGAAATCGTAGAACCAGAACTACCATCCATGCCACAAATTCCTCCGCGGGAAGCCGTTGAAGCAGGCGTCATCAGTTCCAGTGTACCAGAAGTACCATCGGAACCAGCGCTGACGCAAGAGGAACTCGATCACATCGCCTACATTCAGAAACTAGCTGAAGAAACAGCACTAACCTTCCAACCGCCACCTCGTCCACCACCTCCATCAGCATCTGTTGAAGAGTTGAGACGGGATTCGATTGCCGCAAAAGAACTCGACTATAGGGAAGAACTTCGACAAGAATCGAGAGATGAGTCCGAGGCAACTTCAGGAGCGGACCAATTAGCGGCTTCTGAGGCCGGTTCTCCAGTTCCTCTGTACGAGCGAACTTCACCACTGCTGGAGGCGGATCATGAGGAAATCGTAGAACCAGAACTACCATCCATGCCACAAATTCCTCCGCGGGAAGCCGGCGAAGCAGGCGTCATCAGTTCCACTGCACCAGAAGTACCATCGGAACCAGCGCTGACGCAAGAGGAACTCGATCACATCGCCTACATTCAGAAACTAGCTGAAGAAACAGCACTAACCTTCCAACCGCCACCTCGTCCACCACCTCCATCAGCATCTGTTGAAGAGTTGAGACGGGATTCGATTGCCGCAAAAGAACTCGACTATAGGGAAGAACTTCGACAAGAATCGAGAGATGAGTCCGAGGCAACTTCAGGAGCGGACCAATTAGCGGCTTCTGAGGCCGGTTCTCCAGTTCCTCTGTACGAGCGAACTTCACCACTGCTGGAGGCGGATCATGAGGAAATCGTAGAACCAGAACTACCATCCATGCCACAAATTCCTCCGCGGGAAGCCGTTGAAGCAGGCGTCATCAGTTCCAGTGTACCAGAAGTACCATCGGAACCAGCGCTGACGCAAGAGGAACTCGATCACATCGCCTACATTCAGAAACTAGCTGAAGAAACAGCACTAACCTTCCAACCGCCACCTCGTCCACCACCTCCATCAGCATCTGTTGAAGAGTTGAGACGGGATTCGATTGCCGCAAAAGAACTCGACTATAGGGAAGAACTTCGACAAGAATCGAGAGATGAGTCCGAGGCAACTTCAGGAGCGGACCAATTAGCGGCTTCTGAGGCCGGTTCTCCAGTTCCTCTGTACGAGCGAACTTCACCACTGCTGGAGGCGGATCATGAGGAAATCGTAGAACCAGAACTACCATCCATGCCACAAATTCCTCCGCGGGAAGCCGGTTGAAGCAGGCGTCATCAGTTCCAGTGTACCAGAAGTACCATCGGAACCAGCGCTGACGCAAGAGGAACTCGATCACATCGCCTACATTCAGAAACTAGCTGAAGAAACAGCACTAACCTTCCAACCGCCACCTCGTCCACACACCTCCATCAGCATCTGTTGAAGAGTTGAGACGGGATTCGATTGCCGCAAAAGAACTCGACTATAGGGAAGAACTTCGACAAGAATCGAGAGATGAGTCCGAGGCAACTTCAGGAGCGGACCAATTAGCGGCTTCTGAGGCCGGTTCTCCAGTTCCTCTGTACGAGCGAACTTCACCACTGCTGGAGGCGGATCATGAGGAAATCGTAGAACCAGAACTACCATCCATGCCACAAATTCCTCCGCGGGAAGCCGGCGAAGCAGGCTTCATCAGTTCCACTGCACCAGAAGTACCATCGGAACCAGCGCTGACGCAAGAGGAACTCGATCACATCGCCTACATTCAGAAACTAGCTGAAGAAACAGCACTAACCTTCCAACCGCCACCTCGTCCACCACCTCCATCAGCATCTGTTGAAGAGTTGAGACGGGATTCGATTGCCGCAAAAGAACTCGACTATAGGGAAGAACTTCGACAAGAATCGAGAGATGAGTCCGAGGCAACTTCAGGAGCGGACCAATTAGCGGCTTCTGAGGCCGGTTCTCCAGTTCCTCTGTACGAGCGAACTTCACCACTGCTGGAGGCGGATCATGAGGAAATCGTAGAACCAGAACTACCATCCATGCCACAAATTCCTCCGCGGGAAGCCGGCGAAGCAGGCGTCATCAGTTCCAGTGTACCAGAAGTACCATCGGAACCAGCGCTGACGCAAGAGGAACTCGATCACATCGCCTACATTCAGAAACTAGCTGAAGAAACAGCACTAACCTTCCAACCGCCACCTCGTCCACCACCTCCATCAGCATCTGTTGAAGAGTTGAGACGGGATTCGATTGCCGCAAAAGAACTCGACTATAGGGAAGAACTTCGACAAGAATCGAGAGATGAGTCCGAGGCAACTTCAGGAGCGGACCAATTAGCGGCTTCTGAGGCCGGTTCTCCAGTTCCTCTGTACGAGCGAACTTCACCACTGCTGGAGGCGGATCATGAGGAAATCGTAGAACCAGAACTACCATCCATGCCACAAATTCCTCCGCGGGAAGCCGTTGAAGCAGGCGTCATCAGTTCCACTGCACCAGAAGTACCATCGGAACCAGCGCTGACGCAAGAGGAACTCGATCACATCGCCTACATTCAGAAACTAGCTGAAGAAACAGCACTAACCTTCCAACCGCCACCTCGTCCACCACCTCCATCAGCATCTGTTGAAGAGTTGAGACGGGATTCGATTGCCGCAAAAGAACTCGACTATAGGGAAGAACTTCGACAAGAATCGAGAGATGAGTCCGAGGCAACTTCAGGAGCGGACCAATTAGCGGCTTCTGAGGCCGGTTCTCCAGTTCCTCTGTACGAGCGAACTTCACCACTGCTGGAGGCGGATCATGAGGAAATCGTAGAACCAGAACTACCATCCATGCCACAAATTCCTCCGCGGGAAGCCGTTGAAGCAGGCGTCATCAGTTCCACTGCACCAGAAGTACCATCGGAACCAGCGCTGACGCAAGAGGAACTCGATCACATCGCCTACATTCAGAAACTAGCTGAAGAAACAGCACTAACCTTCCAACCGCCACCTCGTCCACCACCTCCATCAGCATCTGTTGAAGAGTTGAGACGGGATTCGATTGCCGCAAAAGAACTCGACTATAGGGAAGAACTTCGACAAGAATCGAGAGATGAGTCCGAGGCAACTTCAGGAGCGGACCAATTAGCGGCTTCTGAGGCCGGTTCTCCAGTTCCTCTGTACGAGCGAACTTCACCACTGCTGGAGGCGGATCATGAGGAAATCGTAGAACCAGAACTACCATCCATGCCACAAATTCCTCCGCGGGAAGCCGTTGAAGCAGGCGTCATCAGTTCCAGTGTACCAGAAGTACCATCGGAACCAGCGCTGACGCAAGAGGAACTCGATCACATCGCCTACATTCAGAAACTAGCTGAAGAAACAGCACTAACCTTCCAACCGCCACCTCGTCCACCACCTCCATCAGCATCTGTTGAAGAGTTGAGACGGGATTCGATTGCCGCAAAAGAACTCGACTATAGGGAAGAACTTCGACAAGAATCGAGAGATGAGTCCGAGGCAACTTCAGGAGCGGACCAATTAGCGGCTTCTGAGGCCGGTTCTCCAGTTCCTCTGTACGAGCGAACTTCACCACTGCTGGAGGCGGATCATGAGGAAATCGTAGAACCAGAACTACCATCCATGCCACAAATTCCTCCGCGGGAAGCCGGCGAAGCAGGCGTCATCAGTTCCAGTGTACCAGAAGTACCATCGGAACCAGCGCTGACGCAAGAGGAACTCGATCACATCGCCTACATTCAGAAACTAGCTGAAGAAACAGCACTAACCTTCCAACCGCCACCTCGTCCACCACCTCCATCAGCATCTGTTGAAGAGTTGAGACGGATT